TGTATCGTATCGGCAAGCCTCCTCTGTATCAACAGCATCATGATATCAGCAGCTCCTCTGTATCAGCAGCCTTGTATCAGCAGCCTTGTATCAGCAGCCTTGTATCAGCAGCCTTGTATCAGCAGCATTGTATCAGCAGCCTTGTATCAGCAGCTCCTCCATATCATATCAGCAAGCGTCCTTTGTATCAGCAAGCCTCCATATTATTCTTAAATATGAATAGTGTGCTCATTTGGTTGCTTTGTCATTGATTGCTTCTTTTCTGGATACTGGTGATTTGGTTGCTGGTTCTCACAATTGACCTCCTCCTCCTCCTCTTCCATACCATTCATCTCCTCATAGTCAGCTGAATAAAATGAAAAGCTTTGATCCATGTAAAAAGGATGTCCCCACTCATCAAAGGCGAATTATTTAGCACACTGTATGCAAGGGGTGAAATTGGTTTCCCTTTTCATAACTGTCCTGTAAATCTCAAAGAACCACTTGTGTTTATCACCAACGCTCATCAATGGAGGCAACAGTGGCTTTGCAAATTGTGCCAATTTAATTGCCTTTGCCAGATCTTTCTTCTTTAAGCAGGTCTTCTTTAAACAACCAGCACAGGTCTCATTCAGCTCCTTGTTGCACGGAGTGGGTTTGCTGTTCCATTCCCATTCCTCCACCCACTYCCAGTCTTGATTGATTACAAACTGTACTTTCAGGGATGGATCATTGATTATCTCTGGTGGAGGGGGCTCAGGGGCTTCTGTAGGAGGCACAGAGGGGTCCATAACTATTTGAATCTTCCATCCTAGCCCTGGATYGATGCCCTTAATCAACTTTGCTGCTTCCCTTGCCTTTGCYGCTAGATGTCACTTCATCTCCATGTTGCCCTTTACAATAGCAAGCTTCAGCTGTGGCATCCAGTGCTTGTGAGCACAGGCCTTGGATCCTTTGTACACAAGCATTTGGGCTTGATGCCTTGTTGCCTTTCTTTGTTTTTGCTCTTCTCCTTTTTAACTTCACTCTGTGCTTTGGATGGCAACCAAACAGGATTGCTGGGCATTGTGGAGGGACTGAGTCTGGGGAGCTTGTAGGAGGGTATTGGCGATATACATCCTTATGGAGGTCTTTGACAAGGAAGTCTGGTGTTTTGAGTTGATCAGTATGCTTGTTATGCTTGYTTTGACACTGCTGCTGCTGCTGCAGCAGCAGCTTGCTTCTTGCAGTATCCTCCATTTTTAGCAGGGGCAATCTCTGTCACAGGGTGTATTGTTCTTGATCAATTTAAGAGAAAGAAATGGGATCGATACATTGTGTTAAACGTACGGAGAAATGCATCTGGCACAGTTCCTTCTGATAAACCAGAAACAGAACAAATGTAACAAGGAGATGTCTTGCCCAAATTAAGAGTTAGCAACAATTATTTTGTGAGCAGTTTGTCTGTTGCTGTATGTGCAAAGTGTCCATTGTGCGTTGAGTCAAAGTAGTCATTACACGGTAATCAGATGGCCAAAAATTGACACMYTGTACAAAATGCACGTAGGGAGTTAACTAAGGGTCAACTCACTCTAACAGCTCTATCTTGGTCCACAACAGATGCTTTCCATTGATAAGCACATGAATGGAAAGTGAATATCAAGAAGCTTCTAGTCATGTGGGGGATTATAGGGGGTTAACGAGTATTGAAAGGTTTTCAGCGCTGTMTATCTGATAATAAAAAATGTACGATTATTTCAGCTGGAAAAACGTGGCCCACGATACAATATGTTTTTCTACTGTGCATCAATTTTGGGCTATCTTTTCACCATGTAAAGACTAGTTAGACTCAGCGCATTTGAGTCCCACAATGGACACTCATGGACACTCTGTACCTCAACTGCTAATTGTAGCTCACAAAATTAGGCCACTAATTGTGTGAACTCAAAATTTGACAATGCAACTCCTCAATTCATTTTTCT